GTGAAGGACAGGAAGGCCTGGCGCAATATGGTTCATGGGGTCACGAAGAGTCGGACACGACTTAACGACTAAACAACAACAACAACAATGTGTGTGTGTGTGTGTGTGTGTGTATATATATATATTCATTCATTCATTCATTCATTCATTCAGTGCACATGTGGTTGGAGATGATACAACTCAAGGATTTTTGCTTCTTTGAAGGAAGTGATTGCACAATATTTGACAGTGAAGCTACACCTCTTTTCTTCCATGTATTTTTGATGTCTAGGCTTCAGTGCTACTGCTTGTGGCTCACAACTGAGGGACAAGGTGATATAGTGGGTATTTGCAGGATTAGAGGAACGCTCTTGATTCCATGGCATCTGAACAGTGGTATCTTGCAACATTACACTGTTTCATTTCCTAAGTATTCTCTCTGTGCGTGATAGAGCTGTGCTGTTCCAAATTCAGAGTAGATTGCTGCAATTTAGAATAGTTTTAACTGATCTGAGGCAGAATGGAGGTTTCTCCACTGCCCTGTCCCCAACTCAAAAACATTTACAAATTTCCAGCTTTGACATGTAGCTCAGGAACATTGCTACATGCAAATAAAAATATTTTAAAAAATAAAACATTTGCTGCTTGCTCTTACAAAATGTGTCAGTGGGTGGGAAGGTGAGGGATGGAAACATTGGATTCAGTGAGTGTCAGGCCTGCCTTCAAATCTATATGATCCTTGTGGTCAAACCACCACCTTTTGTTTCGTCACAGCATCTCATCTTGGAATATTACCTTGATTTTCCAGAGGAACTAAAGCCGGTGCACTATTCTGTGTCTGCTGAGCCTAGAAAAAGGAATGATTTGAACTAGCGTGAAAAACAGAAGATGAAAACACATTTGCGTCTGACTGGTGAAGTAGTCAGAAAAGTCCATGGGGTATGAAAGCATTTTTGTTCTCCTGCTGTTGTCCACAGCATCTGGAGCCTAGAGCCAGACTGCTTCTGAACAGGGGGGAACTCACATGCAGCTGGAGTGACTAGTAGCTGCTGATCAGCTTATTTCTTTTATGGATTTTTCTAATTCATCTGCAAAGTAATCTAAGCCAGTAGCAGTGAATTCTGTTTTCTGCCATGTCCTTATTCATAATTGCTCTGCATCATATGATCAGTTTACTGACCTGTTTTGTGCCTTCCTTGGCCTAAAATTCTACTTGATTATTTTAAGCCTTTGTATTACAATACAAGTACTGAAATATCAGCCTCCCAAACATCAGCGTTATCAGCAGATAGCAACCTTCCCAGCATGCAATCTTAGCAGATTGTTTAAACAAGCATACCTCTTCTATAACACAAAGCAGCCCCTGTTTTTTCTGGATGTTACCAGGAGTATAGTAGGGCAGAATTTAACATATTCTCTCTATCTCAGTTGCAGTTAAAAATCCCTCCCCTATTGCTATTTTAAAACAGATTTTTTTTTAAGTGAAACTGGAGCAGGAGAAAGGAATCACATCATGATTTGGTCAGAGGCCAATATACATTTATTCACTATATTTATATATAACCACATTCACAAGGATTCATGGTGCTATATAATTCAAAGATGTCCTTAGTTCTATATAGGCTATACTGTATAGCTACAAATACACCACAACCTGGCCTTCAGTTTCATTAAATTCAACAGGATTTTAATAGAAATTATTCCTAGGATCAGGTAAAGTTGGTTTGGTTATAAACCACATTTCAAATCTTGCTTTATAGTTGCAGTTATAGGAAATCACAGGTTCCCAATATAAACCATGACAGAAGTTTTAACTTGGGGAGTTAGGGGGAGCATGAGGTCAGAACAAATTGGTGTTATAATATTCTCAGCCTAATAAACCATGGTTTATTGTTTTATTAAGCTGAATAGAAAGAACAGGTATCAAAATTCCAGAGAAAAGAGCTTTCTTTTCACTGATTTGAGGAAGATACATTGAACAAGAAGAAACTGGATCATATTTTCTTATGCCTTGCCCTGAAAGCATGTTACCTTGTTTGACAATGGTTCCGCTGTATCATATGCAGTTTTGAACTGGATCCTCTTCCTCATCCGAGCAGGGCCTTCATAGGTATCCAGGACCCACCTTCTAGCAGGAGAGGCTACTGCAGACCCCCAAGGGCCTCCTTTCCTAAAAAGTTGATCTTCAAGGTCAGCCCAGACCTTGGCAGATTTTTGGTACACACACAGCAACCTCTGTAGGGAGACAGACAATCACTAACAACATAGCCTTCTTCCCTGGTTCCCGTTCTTACTCAGATGTTGCATTTGTACCTTGAAAAGGAAAGCAGCGTCCTATTTATTGGATGTATGTAAATATTCAGTTGCCTGCAGCAGCTTTAGATAGTGCACTCAGTGTCCCTCCTCCAAGTTTTCTCCACAACAGCAGTGAGGCAGGCTGGGCTGAGAGGAAGTTTAAAATCACCCTGTAGCTAAGGGTGGACTTCAGCACTGGTTTCCTTACTCTGCCCCAACACCTTAACCACTCTATCTATTATAGATTTCTTTCTGCAAAAAGCAGGAATTTATCATTTCTTTGGGATTGAGGGAGGCACATTGCTTCTGAATGATTACCAGGAGCCATAATGTATCAGGTCATAAACTGCCCTTGATTTAATTTAAATTTAATTAAAACTAAATAAATTAAAAGTAGTAAAAATGACTGCATTTAATACTTTGCTTACTCTACAAGACTTCACCTAGTGAAGGTGGAGAGGACAGGACATCTCTCAAGTCAAATCCTTTCAGCCCAGCGAGCAATGAGGAGGTATTTTTTCCTGTAATTCATGGAGAGCATTAACTGCATCCCTTCAGTATATTTTAAGCAGATAAATATCATAACTTCTGCTAGGAGTGAAGTCAGATAGTGAATACTGCTACATCACTGACATACGAATGTCACTGAGAAATAAACGCAGATGTCAATATATTTGGGGACCCAAAGGTTTGCAGAAAAGAAAACGAAAACCATAAATGTGTGTTGCAGTGGGGAAGGATCCAATGGGAACAGAGCCAGAGAACAGACAAATGGGGATGGAATGGATCCTCAGAAGTGACTGGCTGAAACCCTGAGCAAGAGAGCTGCTGTTAGGAGGGAAAATGCATCGCAGCATTCTGTGGCAGTTTCCGCTTCATCCCTACAGTGGTAAACATCAGTTAAGTATCTATCTGCAAGAAAGAAGGCCATTCAAAATAAGGGGGATTCCCCATCCAGGCACAAAAACAGACTTCTTAGATAATGTTTTTAAAAGAAACTGAACAGAGCCGGATAAGGATTCAAAGGAATTATCCTGCCCAGGCTATTTATAGTAAATATTCAGGAAATATAAAATAAGGGTTGAGGGAGAAATGCCCTCATCTCCACATGGCTGGACTGTTGCAATGTCCTTAAAGACCACCTGGAAGATGACCTGGAACCTTCAGTTAGTCTAGAATGCAAAAGTTCATTGACCGACCCTCACTGCCTCGAACATATTACACATGTGCTCTGAGCCCTGCACCAGTTTTAACTAGGTTTCAAGCACCATTCAAGATACTGGTCATTACTATAAAGCTCTAGATAGCTTTGAACCAAAGCATCTCTAGGACCACCTTCTCCAGCTGGAACCGACCCACCTAACTTATCTGTTCTGTGAGAAGCTGATGAGGATTTCCCCTTTCCATAAGATATGAAGTATGGAGGCTCACAGGTGCTGCTTTTTAATGGCAACACCTATACTGTGAAATATTTTCCTACTCAATGTTAGACCAGCCCCTCTAGTTTCAGCCCTCCAGGAACTACTGAAAACAGAATTTTTCTGGAGGGCCCAGAGTGATGCATGACAGCTAGGCTGGATGAATGTAATTATGGTTTTACAACTGTGAGTTTGTTTCTCAATCTCACCATGGACATTTTATTTCTTTCTCTGTTTTTATTACTGTAAACTGCTCAGAGTCTCGTGATTGCAGCAGGAAAAAATGTGATCAATCAAGCAATCAAGCAATCAATTCCCTCTCCTTTCTTTGATGCATCCAAACATAGTTAGTTTTTCCTGCCAAGGTGACTTCTTACAGTAGATCCTTACCTCAGCATGATCCTTGCATAAAACTGCATAGAGTTCTTGCCCAGTTCTCCTGCATTTTTCTAAATATGATGTAAAATCCTGATTAAAAGAAAGATTACAAAGCACTTGTGAATGGTATTTAAATCATAAACTGATGTCTGAAGCAACTACTACTAAAACATTTGTGCTTCACATTTGAAGAGCAAATCTTAAATAGTGCTAAGAAGTCTTACCGTGAGAAGAAGCCTGTGGGGAGAAGCCTGCACCTTTTTCTCTCATGACCATACCTTTTTAAGGTCCCCACCCTTATCAAACTGGGAGAACTGGCCCTTTAAAAGGGGGGCCTGTGCTCCCAAGAGCATGATGGCACTTTCGGAAAAAAGAAGATTAAAGAAGGGGAAAAAAAATAAAGAAAACTATAAGGCAGAGAGTGAAAAAAAGAAGAAAGAACAAGAACAAGAAAGAGGGAGAAAAAGTCCAGAAAAGAGGTGGAGCCAAAAGAGAGAAAGAGACTGCCTTGAGGAGCTAAGGTTGGTAGAACATGAGGTCAAGAGGTGGCAGCAGGAACCCAAATGCAAGATGGCAGCATGAGGTGGCTTGGCTGCTGTAGCCTTGGTGAAGACTGCGCCCTGTGGCAAGGTAATGGCCAACAATGGTCCAAAGCCTCCAGAACCCAAATGGCAGGAGGAGGAGAAAGGAGGAGAAGAAGGTTGCGGGCTCCCCCCAGCCATGCCAACCTGTTGCTGTAAAGGAAACTGGAGACGAAGCAAGGAATCCCCCATACCACAGCTAACAGCACAGCTACAGCAGTGGGTCAACTGTGCCCACCAGTTGTGACCAGTGCCCCAGGTGGCAGAGGGGTCCACATGGGCTGGAGGACGTAGAAAGGGAAGGGAAGTCAAAAGAAATGCCTAAGAAAGGAACAGTAATAATAATACAGGACCATGTATAGAACTATAAAGATAAATAGTAATAGGTCAAGCTGGGGATGTAAGGATAAAATATAGACTCCAAATGACTCTGGGTGGCTCACATACACCAAAACAATATAAAAACAGTATAACAAACAACAAAACCACCAAACTCAGACAAAGAAACGGAAGAAGAGGAAGAATGGCAAACCTGGCAAATGCAACACATGCCACCGACAACTGACATCCAACAAATGGGGTGCCAACCAGCCTAGCCCAAGGCCTGGAAGAAAATCCAGGATTTTTTGACTCTTCAGAATGTCAGCAGGGTGGGAACCATCCAGATCTCAGGGGGAACCTCATTCCAGAGGGCAGGCACTGTGACAGAGAAGGCACACTTCCTGGGTCCCAACAGGTGGCACTTTTTAATCAAAGGAATCCAGAGAGCGCCAACCCTGACAGCCCGAATTGGCCCATAACTGCCCACTGTTCTGGTGGCACAAATGGTTTGCTGGAGAAGCCTGGAATGGCTCTCCTCTATTCTCAAGTTGCCAAAGAGGGTGGAGCAGCCTCTAGTCTAGTGCAGGCTGAACAGCCAAGGTTGCTGAGTCCTTTTCTGCTAAGTGTAAGTAGGATAATGACAGGCGGAGGTGTGTTAGAAATCAAAGTGATAACTTTTTTTTGTGGATTTTTTTTGCAATTCTCTTAGACCTTCCCTATGTCCTATAACTAGTCTTCTGCCAACTCGTATCCTTCAGGAAATGATGCTCATCTGAGTGGATAATGCAGCACTCATTAAAGAGCTTGGCATTACAATGAATCTTCCATCTACTTTGAATGTTTTAAAAAAGGAAGAAAGTATCTTCTAACTACCTCAAAAAACTTGCTGTGTAGATTAAATCCCTCCTCACATCAGAGTTTAATCAAGGGAATTTCTGGTCACATTTTTAATAAAGATTGAAATCAGAAATTGTACACAGAAAATAGTCCTAAATATGAAACTAAAAATAGAGTGAAGTTATCTTGGTCTGCTGTTTCCTACCACTGGCTGAGAACATGAAGCAGCAATTTCCCTGACTTAAGATCCAAAATAGGCCTTTCACTAAACTTCTTATCCTTACAGGAAGGTCGCTAGATGAAGCCTAGCACTGCCAATCTTATATTAAAGATGATAGCCTAAGATTTGGCATGACTATCCTCTCTAGCATGGAAGAATCCATAACTGGAATTAGCATCTGAAGGTTATAGTGCATTCAACTAATGGAAAGTTAACCCCCAGACAGAGCAGCAGGGGGACATATTTGAGCAAGAATAGAACGTAAAAAAGTAGAATTTGTTCTACAGCAGTATCAAACTTCAAGATATAATAAAGCAACTAGGATAGTACTCTGGCTTCAAGACTTGCAAGCAGAAGGAAAAAATTATCACCTCTTGATGAAGAAATAAAATGGAATAATATCCTTAGTGTTATTAGTGGGACTCTGTAGGTTCTATGACCTTAGTTCCAGCAACACAGACAGAAAACATCTTCCTGCACAGGCAGAAATCACCCAGATTTACCAGCAAATCAGTAGTTTCAAAGAAATGTCTTTTCTGCTCTTGCTGTGAACTAGATATCAAAGAAGACATTCATGTTGCAATGGCAAAAAAATTAATATACATCATTAATAGCAAATTGTCTGGTTGCACTGAGAGAAAAAAGGGGTTGCCATGAGCAGTTCTGAAATGAATATCAGATTCAAAAGTTCCCCTGTGTATTTAATGGCATGCTAATTTACATTTTAATTACTTCCTAAGAAATCAAAGCATTTTTTGACAGTGGAACATAATGTCAGCTTCATAGAGCACTGTTGGTAGATGCTTAATGAATTTAATTAGATAATCAGTGGTGTTAATTATCTTTCTATTATGAAGATAAAGATGTTACACAAATGATTAGCAGAAATATAATTAATTATAAATTTGCTTGTTTGGTCTCTTGAAACAGAAATAATACACACAGCATTATGATAAGAGACTTGAATGGGATATTGACATTGTGTACTTCACATACTTCAGTGGCTAGTGAAACACTGTACGTGAAAAGGTCTGCACACAGAACTCATATATGAACTGATAACTTCCTAATACAGCATGTGCCACTGAAAGTTCTTGTGAGCTCAATACAATTGACTTTTAGCAACTATATTTAGGAGGGCAGTACATATATCACAGATGTATTATACGCTTCCTTCAAAACACAGTACACAAGTGGATACACACACCATATTTTGGCCAAGGCAAATGGCACAACAGAACAAATGTAAATGTGAATGTGTTGCCTCAACTTCCTTTGATCTATCTGTGTGGGCAAAGGAGACTTATCTGACTATTAAATTCAGACAAGCCTTTCACTAATCAGTTGTGTTTGAAAAGTAAAGGAGATTGACATAAATATTAAGGCAGACACCTAAAATCAGGTTTGCAGAAGAAAGGTTTTAAGGTCGTAATGGCTTTGTAACTCACCAGGAAATGATTAGCTATATGTACAAAAAATTCTTCTTGAATTTTAAAGGCAACTATTTCCCCTTTTCTGTTTGCGGAAATAAATATTGTTTGTTTTTAAAGGTAAATTTGGACATTTTGCTTTTTGAAGTCCATGTTCCTATTTGTAAGGAGTGAGAATAACTGAATGTTTTAGCCATAAGAAAATGCTTCATGTTGAGAGCTGTAGCAGTGAATGAAGGAAGTTTATTGAAAATTTTCCCTGAAGAATTAGGAAGGTGGCAAATTATTTCTGCATAGAAAAAGAGGCCCTGATTCAGACATGTCAGTGGAAAGGCATTTATTTGAGGGGAAACCCTTCAAAGAAGCTGTTGGTCCAGAGTGAGGTAAGATCTATGGAGACCAGGTCAAACCTGAAGTTCATGCTGATGCCTGGGTGATCCAACTTTGCAACTTTGTGCAGAAGCAAAGAGCAAGACCACCAGCAAAAAAAGCAACTCCGGTTAGAAAGTCAGATATGAGGCAACATCTACTCGGCCTCAGATTCAAACCACAGAGTTAGTTCTTCAGGGACACCTTTTCAAATATCTTGCTGATTAAAAGATCCATATAGCTGAAACCTCTTGAATTATTCAATTAAAGAGTTATCTGTTTCTTTGAAAAAGATCTTGTGGCCATTGTGGCTGACTTCCGTCTTTGTATCACAAGTAGGCATCTATCTTGGTCCCGTGAGATTCTAGAGGACGTCTAACAGAGATGGGTGGCAAAAAGGCACCAAAAGTCCTTGGAAATGCTTCTGGCAACTAGGAGAGGACCAACAATACTTGCTTAGATTAAGAGGAATATGAAAAGGAAATAAACCTGGACCTGGATTTTGTAGTAGTCCTGTATCACCATTCAGATCCTTACTATTCCTAACCCTGGTAAGCCAGCCTCTAACCTACAGTATGTGTATCTTGGCATTCATCAACACATTTCAGTCTACACTCCCCAACTGACTCCATATGGGCTGGATTTGAGGAAGCAAAAGCAGCACATGACAAGGCCCCGCAAAGCTATGCAGCATGCCAGGTTAATTTCCTAAAGGTCACTTTGGCCAGGACTGATCTACTGTGCCAGGTACCAAAAAGGAGAGGGTGGTCAGATTTTCCTCCTGTCCTTCCCTCTGCATGTGGCTTACTGTCCTCTGTATCTGGCATACATATTATCACCAATCTCCTTTAGTAAGAAAGCTGAGTGGGAAAGGTGAGAGCCCTAAAACAACCTAGGAGGGAATGGAAATATGAATCATCACCACTATGGATTCATTTCTTTCCAGGGTGAACCAAAAAAAAAAACCCTCAAGTGTACCAGAGCCATAAAGAACACACCTATGTCTGTCTGTGGATCTGGAAATCCCAAAGATCTCTTATCAGTCATTTAACCCACTGTACAACTAATTTGCCTGAAAAGCACAGAAAAATATAATTGCCGGGAGCAGAAAGAGAGCGAAGAGTTGGAGCCTCAGTTGTATGTCACACTACAAAGAACAGTCTATCAGATCTTGAAGTGTCAAATGGTGACATTATAAAGAACAACACAAAATGAGTAATGTTCCTCTGTAATCCAGCTTCTCCTTTAATTATAAGCCTCTTCCTTTCAGAAAAGAAAGCCGGAAGATGCAGAAACACCAATTTCATGCACTTGTGCCTGAATAATGTGTCTACTCTGCCTTTTCCAGATGGCATCCTTTTCTACTACAAGAACTAATGATGTGGGCATATTTAGGGAAAAACCAATAACAGTCTTTAACCTTCAACAGCAAATACAAGTTGTACAAAATGTTCCTTGGGATACATTAACAAATATCAATTACTTTGCTCACTGATGTGTAGTCAGCTGTAATAATCAAAATTAATTTTAAGAAATAATTAAACAGACCCCAAGGCAAATAGTTGGTGCCAGCACTGAATAGTAACATGTATTCCCATCACACCTGGAAGGAAGTTACTTAGCCTATATGTTTCTTAGCCAACAAAAGTAGTTAAGAAACCAATCCCAAGTTTATTCACCAATAGTTTGCTGCACTTTGCACTACTGGAAAAAAAGTCCCCTGGTTATTGGGCATTGTATGACAGCAAATAGAGCAGGACTAAGATTTCAAGTCTGAAAACTCAAGGTATTTTCTTTTTCTTTTTTGCTCATTTTTTCTTCTTTTTGCTCATTTTTTGTTTACCACTGGCCTGACTTTTGGCACACGAGGTTCACACAGGGATTTGGAAATGCAACATACCTCAGCTTTGTGCATCACCTGCTTTAGGTTCCTGTTGGGAATCAAGCTTTCATTTAAGGAACTCATCTTGCTTGCAGTCTTGGCTACAATTTTATTCTGGGAGGTTTTCTTTTCAGATGCTGAAGGCCACAGAGAGGAAAGGATGCAGTTAAAGCAGACTAATGTTTCAGAGTGTAGGAAACAGATTAGCAGCACTTAATAATCATGGTAGATATTCTAGACTGAGTCAAAACAGGAGCCTCGTGGTAGGCTTCAAGGTGATTATCAAGTGGGTAGATGAGATCTTTTCAGTATACCAGACAGAACTAGGTCTTTTAGTTATATGTAATATTATATATAAAGTAAATATATCATTTTACTGCTGTTGGATAAATAAGTATATAAAGAACAAATCTAACATATTATATAAAATAATGATATGGTAAAAAAAAAGGGGG